AATGCAACAAGATTATTACCTAAAATTTCGGAATTTAAATTCAGGTAAAATTGTGGTCCGTAATAGAAAATAATTTTATACCTACCTGTGTTTTTTATATTCTTTGGTATTAAATGTGGTAGAACTACCTTATGGAAGTGTATTCAACACATGGGTTTTAGATTTAAAAAAATTGACAAAAGGCAAGTTTTAATGGAATCTTTTAGAATTCGGAAATGGCTACTGGAATATCTAGAATAAAATAGGATTTACAGAGAACAACAAAGGCCAATTATTTATTTGGATGAAACCTGGTTCGACACTTATGATACCCCGGAAAAGGGTTGGATTGACTCAACTGATAATTGTAAAACAAACGCGCCATCAAAAAGAGGTAAAAGATTAACTATTTTGCATGCTGGCTCTAAAGTTGGTTGGATTCCAAATGGATATTCTCTGTCTGCGAAAAATATTAAAGATTCTTCTCTGGATTACCATGAAGACATCACCGCTGATTTATTTGAAAGTTGGTTTAAAACAAACTAGTTCCAAACATTCCTCCTAATAGCGCCATTGTAATGGACAATGCAGGTTATCACAGTAGACAGTTGACTAAAACCCCTTCCTCATGTGACGACATTTATTTTCACGAAGATCATACCAAAAAGCAATTAATTGAGGTTCTACAAAGCTTGAACCTACAAAACGAATACGTCTGTGATAATTATGCAAACAATCCAGGGCATTCAGTTTTAAGGCTTCCACTCCACCGCTGTATATTTTATCCCATTGAACATGTTTGGCACCAACTGAAATCTGACATTCGTCGTAACAATATTTTTCCCCGTGTTAACTCCAATGTCCTCAAACTTATAGAAACCGAAGTTTTTAACATCCCTCCACAAAGTTGGGCAAATTCTGTTAAAGATATAGAAAAAGCAGAACAATCGTATATCCATATTGCAAATAATATAGAACATATAATAATTGGAACAGGCGATGATAGCGATAGTGATACTGATATATTATGTGAATAATTTTAAGTAATTTAAGTAGGTAATAAAAATAATTTGTAATTTTATTTTAGATTTAAACATAAATACATACATAAATAAATAAATATTGTTTAGCATCTTTCCTAACAAAACCCCAAATAATTAAATTCTAAGCAAAGTACGGACCTCTTCGGCCATATTTCATTCTTACAGCTTGCCTGGGTCTTTTCCTTAATTCGTATCAATGAGTCACCTGGGTTGACAGAATCCGCAGCGAACAAATATTAGAGCATCTACATAAACAACCTGAAATAATTTTGGGGAAATGGTTCCATACGTCAAATATAGCCTTATTTAGAGCTGTCCTGAATAAAGTTTTGATAGCCAAGAAGAAGACTTAAGTCAAAAAGGTCTTTACAACAGTGAAGGGAATAGCGTCACCGCGAGGCCACGCCCCGTCGTCACGCAGCTCACGTTCTTTAATTTATTTGAGGGCTTTATTGTTTCACAATTTTCAATTTAAAAAAAAAAGTGAAATGGGTCTATTTTAATTTTAGGCAGTAAGGCAGAGGTGGGTTAACTGCCTATCCGTCTACCTGCCACTCCCGGGAACCTTGACAATCATCATCATACTACTACTAAGACCACAAATTTTTGCAGTTCAATAATAATTTATAACTCTCGCATTAACAAACAGAATATGTTACAATCTATTGGCTACATAAATCGTTTTAGAAATCAGAATGGAGTGAAGTTAAATATTAATCTTCAACTGAGAAACGCCTGGGTTAATTTCTAATCAACAAATACAATTCAATTTACCACGAAACTTAGTTGCGGGATATCTAAGACAGTTGGTTCGCTTTGTATTAACTTTTTGTACCAAACCAAGTCGGACTCCCTAGTGAAATGCAAATTATTCAAATTTCTGTAGTAGTTTCGGGAAACAATAATAGTAATATTCTAACAGAGGCTCCTGAACAAGTTCTGAACCCCAAAGGTCCTATATATGGGAACAATAAATTATATATATATATATATATATATATATATATATATATATATATATATATATATATATATATATATATATATATATATATATATATATATATATATATATATATATATATATATATATATATATATATATATATATATATATATATATATATATATATATATATAATTATATAATAGTGAAACTCACAATCCAGTATAGTAAAAAGAAAAATTATATTAAGTCCAACGGAAAAATAAAACATGAAAATGTATTAATGAATGAAAGAGCTGCTATTGAACATTAACTGAATAACATTCCATGGGCATCAAACTCTATTCGTTGTTTTTAAGTGAAATTCTCATATTATCTTCGAAATTCGCAAGCCTGAAGTTCGCAGATTCATGCGGTGCGCAAAATGAACTTAGCTACCAATGCTTAATAATTCTACTTCCTGGAGAGCATGCAAAATTAATATACACGAAGTTCAACGTACCTTTCCGTTAGGACGCGAATTCCGAAACTAAGTTGGTAATTTGATTTTAGAACCCCACTTCTCTTATTCATCGGTTGATTCCGACCAAGTTTCTCAAAAAAACTAATCAAGAGAATGCCTGTAAAAATTTTACTGTATTTTTTTTTACTATTTTTATTTACATGTTCTACAAAAAAAATTGAATTATAGCGGATGCATTAGTTGAAAAAATGGTTGGCTTTTGAGCAATGCAATAAATAAGGTTCATTCTGAGGCCCAGAAGTAGCATAAAAAGTTGGTTTTTGAAACCATGAAAATATGGAGCGTGCTTTCGTAGTTGTCTAATGGATCTTGTTCAAGTATGGAGAATATTAGTTTAATACTTTTACATTTATGTTCTCAGAAATATTGTCAATATTTTGGGAAAAATATACAGCACCACTTTTTGACAAAGAGCTATAACACATTTTAAAAACTAAAGGAAAAAAAAGTTTTCGGTTTCGGCATAACAGTTATTATTAAAGAGGATATTAAACTTGATCATACATCCCCGAATATTTTTGGCGATTTCAGGACAATTTCGCTCATCTCTGAAATCAATAGAGCAAATATTAGTATAGTCTGTCCCAATCTTCATCGTACTGGCTTTTGGTAATAATATTTTCTTTTTGTTTATTTACGTGGGTATAATCTTATTAAATTACACTAAGAAAAAACAATGACCTTAAATATATGTAGTAAATTCATAGCTACGAACATATATACTAAATTTTTTTTAATGTGCTATAGTGGCACTTAAAGTAGGAGTACCTTTTTCTGCTCTGACGTGTTCAGCCAAATTAGCGCATACATACTGTTTTTTAATTGCATATGAATCTAGGACTTCCAAAAGTTGCGTTTTTTTATAACAGAATTCAAAATAAATAGCATTTTCTAACAAACATACCTTCTATTTTGCGGTACTTAACATTTTAACTTAACATTTGGCAAGCAACTCCTGGAGGGTTGCACTGCTTATATTTATATTGGTTTCATCTTCTAGGTTTTTTTTCAGTTTATCCAAGGTAGGAAGAACTTCACTATGATAAAGATATACGGTGAGTTTGACAATCACTATGCTGGCGTTGAACTTACGGAACGGAAAAATCAAACTATAAGATTTTAAATGGCGATTCAATTAAATTTCTTGGCTGACGTTTGCGATACGGAATTAGTTGGTGAAAAAGTATTTCTGGTTTTACAGGGTTGAGTCTTGTAGGACGTTTTCTGCCCAGAATATAATTGTCCCAGTGACTTTTTATTTTTGTAATTGGCACTGTACTGGTAAGTCAACGATAAAGTAAAGCTCATTATCTCGTGAGAAAATAGTAAATTGGAAAGTTGTAAAGAGGTGGCTCAGAAAAGTGTGACGAATAAAACATACATTTTTTAAAATAAATAAATATTTTTTAAATCTTGTTTTGAATTCGTTTTGAAATTCTTCAACTTTTTTGTTAAGAATAATATATACCTAAACGTAATAATTAATTTTTTAAATTTTTATGAAAAAAATACTAGTTTTCAAACTTAAAAGATATGTGCAACGGAATCTGAATTAGATGTTACAGAGTATTCAAAGTAAGCGAATATATTTGAATCATTTTAAAATGAAAAATCTTGATTTCCTTAAAATGTTATGTCATATGTATATTATTATTTTTTCTGAAAAATCTGTAATAACCTACAACTTTTAAGTATGTTATGTACCTATTTTTAATATTTATTTATTTCAACTTTTCCAATATTTACCCTTCTTTCTGTTTAAGGCTACGGTTATAACATTAGTTGGCCAAGTTCTTGGCAGAGATAAAGGTGTGAGGTTATGTTTGTTTGAAAATTGCTTTTGTCTAAAACACTTTGTAGTTTAGATGTTTTTCTTAATAGCTGTTCTTTACTTGACAATTGTTATATAATTTTGTAATTGTCCTTGGAACAATTAATAATATTATTAATGTACTAATCTACATACATACGCCCCATTGGAGTTTTCACTTCCACAAAATATGGAGCTCAATAAGTTCCAATAAGAAAATAATTGCAAATTCTTTCTAGGCCACAAAATAAACTTATATTTGTAACCTAATAGTATAGGAAACATCTTGTTTACACGCTCAATGCAACTTTAACATATTTAATAGCAATTTTGGTATTTAAAATGGTATTGGTGAGGCCAGAAAATTTTTTGATTGATTAAAACTAAAGAAAAAGATACTTCCACAGCGTAATGCAATACTATTTACAAAACTTCCGGATTCGTCGGTTGTTGTTGAGGATGATTAATACTGTTTCAATTAAGCTCTGAAGAAGCCAACAGGATCATTGACGAAACGTCAGCAAATTCAATTTATCAACAACCGATGCACGAGGAATCCAAAAGTTCTGCAAATCCACAAATATTAGTTTTTAATATATTTTAAATATTTTGTTATACTAAGCAATGGCATCCTATTAGTATCGTAATTAGTGAGTTTCTCATCATTCAAGGAATTGCAAGTTGTTCGTTTTGTTCCAGGTGCTCCATAATCCATGCCATCATGCTAACGCCAACTTGCTTAGAGAACGGCATTTGGCCTCGAACAGTATTACAAATATGTCGCCATCACTGACTCCCACACAGTTGTCGCATTTCTTCTTATGTCTGTCTGAAAAGGCCTCAAGGCCAACGCAGCAAGTCTGCCAATGCTGTCCTTGGTGATGCTGCCCTCCGCAATGAATCGTTCAGAACAGGAAAACTTGTATCGTACATCGCGGCGGCTAAGTCTGGTTCCCATCGGAATTGATCATTCCCACGGAAATCTTCTAGATCTCGGCAACGGCGAGGAAAGAAGACATTCGTTCGTAAAACCCAAAAATGGAGAAAGGCAGCAACACGTAAGACCCATTAATTAATATAAAGTAGCAACCGTTGGCTATAACACACAGCGCATTTATATTTTCGTATAGATATACAAATTTATTGCTGTGAAAAAATGATTCCCTCGATAAACACAAGTTTTATTTTCAAAAAACGAAAATATGAAAAACCTGATCCTACAAAACAGAAGAGATATTTGGTAGAAATTGGAGATGACAGATCGGTAAGACGACCAAGTAAATTGTTGATCCCGCAAAGTTTGAATAATTAAAAAAGTGCAAATGCAAAAATTTGTTGTCATTATGATATTACTATTCGTACTATCATATCAGTACAACCCACCGTAGTGTGCGTGAGATAGAAAGTTTGTATACTAATCTTTTGAAATAATTGTTTTTGGTTTCACTTGATCTTATCTTTTTGACTTTCAGAATCGATGTTTTTATATTCATACACCGTGAGCGCAAAGAATTAGAAGATACCATATTTTTGAGTGCCTAAATGTAAGATTTTTGTAGCTTATATTTTCAAAATCAGTGACGATATTTCATTATCTTCTATTAATTTGATAAATTCCATATTCGATGTTATCTGATAAGTGTCCGATATTTCTTCTTCTTCTTCTGCTGCCTATTGTATGTATTAGTTCTTCCATTGTCCTTAGTCCTTTCCACTATCTAACGTTGTGAAACCTTAATCTTCCCTTCAATCAACTGTACCAATTGGCATATCTCGTTACTTATCACGTGGCCTAGATGTGCTGTTTATCGACTTTTTATTGTGTCCAGAACTTCTTTATTGATCATTCTCAAGATCTCATCGTTTGTTTTCCTTGGAGTCCATAGCATCCTCAGTGTACAGTTATAGATCCACATTTCGAATGCGTCAATATTGTTCATACCGCTCACCTTTAGTGTCAATCCCTCCATACCATTTAGTACTACAGGCCAGACGTAGCATTTTATAAATCCGATCCTTAGGCTAAAATCGAAAACAGTATTGGTGAGCACTTTTTCCCAGTTTTCACAGAGCCACGTCCCTGAATATTTAAGTTCTTGTTTCTAACGAGTAATTATCATCAATTTAGTCTTCTTGGCTCATATCACCGCAATCACAATCTTGAGCATCCTCTGCAAACGTCGATATTTCACAGGGGGATTTTTCAAGTACTTTTAAGGTAAAAAATATTATAAATGTGTGGTCTACAATGGTTCACTTTAATGTTTGTTTTTGATTCAAAAGAAGGAATTCCTCAATTATTTTTAAGTAAACAAAGTTTTATTATTAGAAGTCCCCGGGAGCAACCTTTTTCGAAATATTTTTGCCTAAAATAATCGTTTTTTTTTTAAGTAAAACTATTTTAATAAGGATAAAAAGATAAATTGAAGTTATATGTTCATTCGATGATGCATTTTGTTTGTGTTATTGTGTAAAGTATATAATCATAATACAATTTTAACCAAGGAAAAGCAACTTTGGCTCCCTGTGTATCGAAAATAAATAATTTCAGCCCTTTTTACCTTAGACACTTATTAGATTTAATTAATTTAATCTGGTTCCGACCAAAATCGTTATAAAATGCAGTGAGAAAAGACAAGCTACTGATGTCTCGAGGCTTACTTAGTAACTTAGTAAATTTAATAAGTTTTATGGTACTTCTAAAATAATGCCAACCACCACCAAAGGGTCCTTATTTTTTTTTTTTAATATTATTATGATAGTTTAGTCTTTACCCTATTCACAAATTTATTTACCTTTACTGGTATGGTGTTCACAATCCAAAATTATACTAAGTGAACTAATTGTTAATTTTTAATTCCTCTCTTTGGGGTCATTTAGCGGTTTAAGTAGTATCGATTGAAAATGTCAGGACGACGAACTTGACCATATCACCGCTTTTAGCAATATCGTTCCCACTATTAAATGTGTAATGAATTTTCTCTCTCTCTAATATTGAAAAGGCTAAAATGAAGCAGCAGATGGGACATTTTTTAAGGTGGACATTCGAAATGTTGAACCATCAACAATTCACTGTCGCTATGGCATTGAAATGTGTTTTAATTTATAATGCCTATATCGATTTATGGGCTAAATGCAGCTGAAAACGTGCAGCTTATTAATCGTGGAATATGTGTAATCGATTTAAAAAACAACTATTTATAGTTGGAGCGGTAAATTGGCAGAAATACCACGAACTGAATCTGAAATAGTTGTTAATGTCGCTGACATATTTTCCGCGGGTCGATACCTAACACGAACCTCGGGAACGTTGTAAGTGGAACATATTAATTTTTTAAAATATATTTGTAATAAATTTTGCTCCTATCGGGAAACTTTTTACTACTTTTACGTATGATTGTTTTTGTTTATTTCTCTTGCGACTGGGAGGGCGACGGCAATACTTCGGCACCAATTCCGAAAAAACTGCAAAAATAATTTATTTTCATCATAGATTGACACGGAAATCGTAAAATCAGTGAGTGAGGCAAAACTGACTTTCTGGTTCAACTCACAAAAGCAAAATATGGAATTAAATCAAATCTCCTGAATTGGTACGATGACAAGCATGCGCATTGATAAAGCCCTTTACTGACTCACAGATTCACGATTGTTTGGCTTTTATTTTTTCTGAAAGTGGCCCTTTTACCTCGCAATTTTTGAGTTTTTTTTCTTGGATTTAAAATTTTCCTACCTCTGTTATAGGTCTTACCCGATTCTTCTAGTAACATTGTTGTCACTTTTCTCCAATTTTTTTCTTTTTTTGAATATTCTAGTACACCTGTTTATAGTTAAATATTCAGACAGCGTAATTAATATTAATATTCATTATCATTGTCATATAATTTAAAAAAATACTTTTCCATTGAATACGTATGGCGGATGTCTCACTTAATTCATTTTTGATTTAGCACATCTAATAGAGATTACTGTGATTTCTGATTTCTCATTCCTGCAAATCGTAATGGTTCTGTTTCTTGATTGACTTGTATCTTTATTGTACTCTATGAATGTATGAGAACTGTCACAGTCGATTATAGCACCCAAAAAGCAGTCCTGCCATCCGGAGGGGACTGTAAGTTTGAAAAATTCGAAAAAAATTGTATCTACACTCGTATAACGCCTTAGGTCATAAAATTTTTTGTCCAAGACCTACTAAAAATTTGCAAGGTGAACCTATTTTGGCCAAAAAAATGAAAACTAAAACACAGTGATTCAATTGGAGCTTTCTTTCATTTTGCTAGGACGTATTAGGAGCTAATTTTTTTTATTATGTTTTCGGATATCAAAATATGCCGTGCTATGTAAAGTGTACAAAAATATGTCCAAAATTTGCAGTTATGCGACTGACATTTGATAGGGTGATGAAAGTAAATACGCCATCAAACTTTGGGTAGTATTAAAAAAATGAAAATTTTGTTTTTCTTTTTTTTTAGATTCAAGAAAATCAGAAATATTGTTGAACCAGAAAACTCGAGAGATCTGGGCCTGTAACTTTTATTTTAGTCATTTTTTTAACTATGGTGATGGTGTGTCGGTTATACGGAAAAAACTAGGAGTTCCTAAAACTTACAATTTTCGTAAATTGTCAGGAAAAAACGCAAAAAACGTGGCGTCTTGCTTTGGGTAGTTGGGTAGAGTGCCTATTTGAAAGGCATTACATACAGGGTGCACACAAAAAAACGTCCCTATGATAGTGCTCTGCAGAAGCACGAAAGAAAAAAGCCGGGAAGCGGCTCCTTTGATATAAAATGCGACGCGGTGTCCTTACTTTGCCTTATTTTTGATCTAGTTTATAATATAAGGCCCGCCAATACTGTAAAACTAATGCGCCTTAGAATGTTATAACATTTTCGTAAAGAAAGGCACTTTTACACTAGCCTGCAGTGTGGGAATTTTGCTTTCGAAACGATCTCCACACATTTCAACATGTTTTTTTCATGAAAATTTAATGGTATAAGGGCCACAAAAAAAATACCACATCGAAACACAAAACTGTCGAATTGATGAAGTGTCAATATTAGTCATATTGGTAGGGTTGAAATGACAGATATTGTTGGTTGAAAGCAAGTTTTTAAAATTATTCGAGCATGCGCATATTAAATGACCCGTCTCAACATATTATCGGCATAGGCAACTCCTCTATATATCTAGTATAATCTGGCTCAATCTTCATCGTATTGGCTTTCGAATGACCCTGCAGAATAAAACTTTATCGATGTTATTACCTATTGTTATTGGGTAAAGCCATTAACAAAAAAAAATTCTTACTTGAGTGACAAGGCAGGAGTGAGTCAGGTATGTTTGTACCTTTGTATTCTGATTTATTTATTGAGTGTTGACCATTTGTGGCCGTGTTGGATAATCGTTTTTACTGTGCGTTCCGAAAAAAATATTTCACGAGAATATAAGAATGTCGCTTAATGGTTGTAAAAAATTGATATGAAATTTTAATCAGTAGAGGACTCATTAAAGAAGAAGCTTTAAAAGAAACATGTCTACTCACAAAAGCGCCAATGTCGTATCGTAGTGCTTTTCAAACTCACCGCATAGTCACTAGGGATCAGGATCTAATAAGAAGGAAAATATATTGTCATTATCAAAGCAAAGTTGGTCCTACCTTGGATAAATTAAAAAAGAAGCTAGAAGAAGATGAAACCAATATAAATGTAAGCCGTGTCACTCTCCATAGAGTTGTTTGTAAAAAGGGATTTAAATACAGCAAAATTGACAAAAGCCAAGTAGTAATGGAGTCACACAGATTTAACTACCTTCAAGAAATTGAAATATATAGATTAGATAACAGATCATGGTTCGATACACACGACACTGTATCCAGGGTTGATTGTACTCAAAACTGTCAGACGAGCACCATCAAATAAAGGAAAATGCATCACCATAATACAAGCTGGGTCAGAAGACGGATTTGTCCGAAACTGCTTGGTGTTGTCTGCAAAGATTACTCCTTTTCAAAATTGGTTTCAACCCAATCTTTTAAAAAATATTCCCAATAACACTG